ATAGGTAGTACACATTGCCTTCGTCTCCTTCTTCTTAAGCTAAGTACTCTCTGACCGCCCCTAAATAGGGTATAACTTAGAGTGGAGAGCGGTACGAGTACTCGGCTATGGCAGGGCGGCTGCCAGCCCGGCCGTAAAGCCTTTACTGTCGTAGCCTGCACAACTTGGCCGGCGGCAGTTGATTCCACTCACGTATTGTTCGTGGGAAAAAAGAAAACCCGAAGCAGTGTTTACGTACAGTGACAAGCTGATATTTGTCTTCATGGCTACCCCTGGTTCTCCTCTGGGCGTGCTTGAGGTACTTCTCACTGGGAATGTTATTAATGATTTCCTTTCATCTCTTTTTGTAAAGTTGATGACATCAGCTGCCCAGATGTAGGACACTGTATACAGAGAGATCCTTCTTTCCACGAACAATCAGAGAGGGGAACAGCCTGCCGGCTCACATTGTTCTTAGTAGCAACTTAGAGGACTTCAAGTCCATGCTGTAAAGTGTAATCCCTCCCTCGAAATCTCCATTTCCTCAGTACATTTACCCCCCCCCCCCTTGCGCAGTACACCCTGGAGCGACATAATCTTCGGCAAGTCGAAGGCGGTCGTTTAAGGAAAGAAGAAAATCTCACACTAGTAAATTATCACGCAACGAGCGTCTTCAAAGCTAAAGAGTATATGTCAAATATACATTTCCTTTTATCTCTTTATAAAGTTGTTTTTGCACTAAAGCGTCCCAATTGTGCCTTGAGTGTTTGAAGTAGAGTGGTTTTCAGATTATTGCTCTCTATACATCAATGGCGAAGTGCTGGCGTATTTCCCACAGTCTGCAGATTGAGATACTGAATTTCTCGAGTACAAAGTCGAATCACCTTCCCTTCGCCCTGGGAAATTACCGAACCACAAACTTATCAGGGCAAAACCATTCTCTGTGCACCAGACTTTTCAGATGCTCGCCTATCATTAGGCGAGTGTCTATCGTTGATAATTTAGACTCAATCACAGGAGACGACCTCCTGTCTGTCTTACCTAATTCACTTTAATGATTTAAATAAGGAAGATCCAATATTTATCAAATGTGGAAGAGTTTTCTTCGACAAGTTAATCCAATACATATTTGCTGTGGTTATCCTGCTTCTTGAGGATTGTGGCAATCAGATTACCATGTAGAGACGCCAGTGCCATTTGTCTGACACCGGCTTAGAAGTCAGTGTCTCCCCCCAAGGTTATACAGTCGTGACAGACGACTCGCCTCGTCTGAGCTGAACGCTGCCGCCGTCTGTAATCTTCCCCTTCCCGGGAAGATCCTATCTTAACAACCCGCGTCAGACAACATTTGATCGAATTTGCAATTGTCGATCCCCCACCAAATGTCGCCTAATCTCAAAATCGCGGCACCCAGCTAATATTACACCGAACGACTTGTTACACCCAATCTTTGCTCGTCTCACTGTAGGAGTTGTTGTACTTGGTGCCAACGAGTTCCACTCTACGATAGTTCTAGGAAAATATGAGTTTTTCAACTCAGATGGTGGGAAATGTATATTACGTGCATTCTACGCAGTGCTTGGGGAGACCCACATCCCACGAATGTTAAAGAACCCACCACACCTTTGGAGAAAGAGTAGGGGCATACCCCGGTGTGCACATGAGATGGTCCAAATCCCACTGAATGGAAGTTGGTGATTCACTACAAATCACCCAGACGAAGATCTGGTGAAACCCCGTTTCGTATTAACTACACATCATATGCGTGAGCCGTAGCGAAGCCGCATTGCACAAGCATGTAGCTACTCAAAAAACGATGACACCATGCTTCATCGGTGATGATGAGGATAATTAACGACGGCGACGTCAAAGAGACCGTGTACAGTTGAATGCTGATTGGTCTCGTAAATTGGTTGTCAACTTTTCCAACCTTTTCATTCTAGAAATGCAATATATGTGGTTTCCTGTGAATGAGAAAGGGCGTGCCAACACCTCAAAATAAATGGAACTCATCAGCTGAAATCAATACGCCGCTTAGAAAAATCGTTCTAGCTTTAGAAGACAAATGGCGGCGCTACGTGAGAAGTCCTCGGAGCTGTGCAAGTACATCAATAAACACTTGACAGGGACAGGACCACGGGGGACGGGTGTTAGAGGAGCACTATGAAGTCGATACGAGTAGGTGCACCTGAGAGATGGCGAAGTTGGTATACCGATAGCGCCTATCGACTTAATGGTGCTCCTCTAACAGCCTTCCCTGTGGTCCTTTCCCCCTCAAGTGTTTATTGATTTCGGTAGGTCTTGAGTTCGATGCCCAGTTATGTCATACCAAAGTTTCCGGAAGCAACTTTGAAAGAAAGTGATCTCAAAGTGAATGAAAGAAAGTGATCTCGAACCAGCTTTTAGCTCATTGAAGAGCTAATCTTCCACTGGTCGTGACAGAGAAGACAGACGCTATGTACAGTACTAGTATTTACAGGTTCATTGTACTGGGAAAATTCCCTTAGCTCTTTTCGACAAGCCCAATGAATAGTGGACCACAACTTAAACTTTGAAAATTGAACTCTCAATAGGTCAACGTCCTTATGTCTACTAGGGGCGCTTTTTTGGCTTATTACACTAAGACCTTTCCAATTCAGAATCGGGAAGACGTACATTTATACAAGACAGACTTGATTGCTGGGTCCACAACGGACAAAGCCGTAAAGCTCCCTGGGAATGTAGATGGAGTGAGCACAAGATCCTCGATCGGAGGCTAAGCGATTTATCGGAAAATGCTGTGGTACATTAGGCATTAGGCTATAGCCACTGGGAATGCGATTGAGTCGCTTACTAAGCGAGGGATTGCGCCCCAGAAACATGGACAAGTATCAAGCTTGCTCTGCGTTTGTGTCGCGTGATTCCTAAGAAGAAGATCCAGTACTCAAACAGAACTCAAACACCAATTTGGCGATCTACAAGCTCAGCCAGCTCAGTCTATTTAACCTGAACCTTCATTACCCAGGGCTCTAGGGAGCTCATCCCTGCAGAGTTTGTAACCATTTCTGCTGAGGTCCAAATTGGTGACCGGCCTGGCAGTCTTATAGAACGATAGGTGTGGTTTGAAAGACAAAAAAAAGCACAAAAAAGAGCCATGCCTAGTAAGAGGAAGCTCTCAGACAATAATTGGTCTTCCAGGTGGCGCGGCGGCAGCTTTACACCGAACATTACACCGAACGACTTGTTACATGATCTAACATTTGAACATCTAACTATTCTTTAAAGCTATCTCTACACCCCTCACCCAACTTCCCCGCCGGGCTGTGTGTGTGACCATCACCATTTCTCACCGGGAGGCGTCATTTCCACGTTCCCATTATCACCGCCTGGCGAGCTCTAGACGTGCGGGGGCTGGCCGGCCTGAATACCAACACTGATGCGTCTGGAAAATACCTGACCCCTCTCCATTCGTCAAGGCTAACGGCCCTAACACTCTGGAGCAGCTTAGCTGCTTAAGGTACGCACCCAGCAATCTCGACTTTCAGCATGCCTGTAATATCTCTATGGAAATTGAAAGGTTTAGCAGCATCCGACAGACTTTAACGTTGATGTGACGCAGATGCGGGTGAAATGCAATTGATAAAAGTTAACGACAAACTTTTTAACTTGAAATGCACGCGGCGGCACCAGTTGCGAGAGATAGATAGTCCTGAACAAACATTAGACCGGGCGAATGCGCATTTCTTCATTGGAGATTTGGCTCTGGACGCTAGCTATACTATAAACAACATAATGCTTTGAGCTCAGTGCCATTTCACTGCCAGTATGGACGTGATCGTACTGATCAAGCACTGACCTGATGATGCTACGGGTCACCTCTTTCACAGAGGGAGATGCTTTCTGTTTGCTTCGTGAGCCTTCAAACGTGCTCCTCGGCCTCTGAATTCAGCAGGTTAGCTTTCAAACTTTGTCGGCACGTTTTTTTCTTGAGTAGACAAGCAGGGACAAACTAGGGATTCAGTAAAAACTTCTAAAACTATGACATAATCATCAAATGACTGCTAAATCCTTGACAGCTATTTGGATGATTATGTTTTGAGACTTTAAAATGTGTCACACAGTCCCGATGGGCAACTAAACTAATAGGAGGGCAAAAGGTAGCACCACGTGAGACTAGTCTGAAATAACCTTAACGGCCCACGAAACACATGTACAAATCCCAAACGTTACTCAGAAAACTCAAACTCGAATCCCTGTCTTTCAGGGGAATGCGAGTATCCATGACCACATTTGGAAGAAAGCTTCGATGCATATATCTAACACTGATGGCAATCTTCACTTAAACCGGATATCGTGTCCGTTGTAGTTAATGAGCCGAGCGGTCCAGCACAATCGCTCACACCCTTCGAAGAGTGGGGCGAAATGGAAGGGGTATTGATTGATTGCTACACTGACGAGTAATCTCCGAGAATCTACTGATAAGTCCTTGAAATTTGTTTACTGCAACTACCTGTAAGAACACACATCTATCATGTCTCATGTTTCCTGCATTGTGGAACATCCCTTCATGTTTCACTCTCATGTATCTAGATGAAATCATCTAATAAGTGGGCAATTTGAACAGGAGAAAATCTCTCACTTCATCATTGATGTCATTTGCCATTAGTACAGTTTTGAAGGAGATTTGAATCCCAAACGTTGGGCACGATAGAGGTGATCAGAATCATCCGTACCTGTACTTGACATGCAGACGTACTATATGTACCCAGCCTTTTCAGGAAGATTTTTGAAGAAAACTTTTTAAAAAGAAAACTTGTTTGGCAGTTCTCCTATGCCTGACAGTGTGGGTGTCGGGGATCACCAAGTGTTCTTGAGCTGGGATTTTCAATGGTTTGTCACCCGTCGCACCTCTTTATTAATATCCTGATGAAGGCGACAGTGTTCGTTGAAAATTAGATCCTATTAGGGTTGAAATAAAATCTAACATTGTACTACCAAAACAGATGAAGCTCCGTGATTATCAAAGAGAGTTGTGTACTTACACATGAACTCGCCCAGGAGCCATGGCGAGACGACCCAGGTCTCCTGTATGGCGGCGGGAACACAGACCAACAGGACCAGCAGGTCAGCCACGCTCAGGTTCAGCAGCAGGTAGTTGGTGGGACTGCGCATGCGCCGGACCTTCGCCACCACCACACCCACCAGCAAGTTGCCCACCACGCCGACTGGAAAATAAAGATTTACAGAAAATTTTCACCTCCTCGTTCTCTTTTACTTCTATATACGGAGGCATTGTGTGTGTGTGTTTGTTTGTGTGTGTGTGTTGTGTGTGTGTGTGTGTGTCTCTCTCTCCCCCCCTCTGTGTGTGTGTGTGTTTGTCTGTGTGTGTGTGTGTGTGTGTGTGTGTGTGTGTGTGTGTGTGTGTGTGTGTGTGTGTGTGTGTGTGTGTGTCTGTGTTTGTGTCTGTGTGTCTGTTTTCGAGATGCCCACATTTACACTCAGGACTAGTGACAGTGTGTACAAGGCACATCCGGACTGTCTGGTTGACTAATGGACTGTTTCCGCGGACTTTTGTTACGGATGTTTCAAAGTTGATTTTCCTGGAAGTATTTAACAGTTTTTGAGAAAGCGTACTAAGCTGGTTTAAGCTGGTTGAAATACGGCAATTTGTAGAGTATGGGAAGGAGGGATAAACTTAAAGTGCATAAAGTGGTGTGATTTGAGTTGAGTGTGTCAAAGGGAGTTTGTTTTCGAGATCCCCACATTTGCACTAAGAACTAGTGACAGTGTGTATAAGGCACATCCGGGCTGTGTAGTTGACTAATGGACTGCTTCCGAGAACTTTTGTTAGGGGTGTTTCAAAATTGATTTTCCTGGAAGTACTGAACAGTTTTCGAGAAAGCTGGTTCAACTTAAAGACCTCAAGAAAGTCAATTCTACTTCACTGACGTCAGAACCTGCAGCGTCTTAGGCATGAAATAGGATCTGCAATCAGGCTCCACCAAGTCTCTTTGGTGTCGTACTTCAGGTAATCAGTGGAAAGAATGCAACAATTGGAGCAACCGTCTGGAAACATCTTATCTTTTATGAAAAATCTGAAAGGAGGCTAGCGCTAGGCCAAGAATCTCGTCGGCAGCTCTTTTTGAAAAAAAAAAAGTTTCTGCAGATTGTTCAAGGCTTTTCAGACACAGACACAACGTACGTCTAAAGCGTTTGATCAGACAGGCTGATTCTGATGGATGACTGATGTTATCCGCGCACGCCATCGGGAGAAGCAGTCTTACTGATGTACTTTCAGTGACGTCACCTCGGCGTCGCCCTGTGATTGGTCATGCAGATGATTAAACTTCCCTTGTACCCGAGACGCTTCATTACACGTACATGCTCACTCTCATTGAAGTCAATCCCATGACGCCACCGTTGTCAGGATTCGTTTTTGTGGGATTAAACTTGGAGGCCAAGACGCAACCGGAATTGATTTAATTAAGTTTATCCATATCTCTATTAGTGGTGAGATTACCGCAGACTTTGGGATTAACCATTCTCAAAACCCATTATTGGTAATATGTTTGCCTGTTACGGATCTCTTTCACTGCAGTTTCTTCACTAGTTTCCTTAGTACATGTACAGGCTCCACGACTGGGGCTTTTTGCCTGCTACGCCACGAATAAAGCGTCATATAACAGCACCCTTCCCCAATAAAGCCCCGGTCGTAGAGGCTGCCTGCACGAACGTTTTGCAGATGGTGCAGTCTTATAGATGACACATGTTCTACTGCTCGCCTGGACTGGAAAAACTTCCCACTGAATGTACAACGTTTTCACCCCCATGCATACCCTCGCCGGGCGGGGTCGACCAACCCTTGGCTTGTTATTATGGCTCGGACAAACCTTGCACCGCGGAAGAAGATTGAAAGCGAAGACACAATGCAATCAACCTTGATTGAAAGCTCGGCATTTCAAACTTGTCTGAAGAAAGAAGACCATGTACCCCGGGATTAACCTTTTTGTGAGGCCTGATCGCTGATAATTATATATAAGCACCTTTCACGCAACAGGGCGTGCCATTGCCATTCATATAGGTTCCAACAATGTAAGGGAAGGCCTGATTGAATTTTTTGATAAGTTCTTTTCAACTGGCTGATAGTCACGGTGATTGTCTGCTACAGCCTGGAGCTAGTCCAATACAAGTTTGTAATATTTAGTCCGTATGTTATAAAGGCCGTACTTCTTCAGACATATGACACAGGAAGAGATCTTCACGATCAGTGGCCTCAAGCTAGCCTCAACGTTGTAGATCGGCGTTGCGTAGACAAACATTTATTTTCAACTATTCCAAGCTCCAGCAAAGCAAAAACCTGTTAGTGCAGTCATCTGTCCCTTAAGGTGTATTAGCCGCATGAGGTTTAATAAAGTTCTTGATAATTATCTGCTTGATGCATGTGACAACATGGGATGGCGCCATGTATCTGTTTGGTAATCCCTTTAATTCATTAGGTAATCTTTAATGACTGTTCTAATGAACACATCTGTGAAAAGAAACTTCATCATCCACTCAATCTGCACTTTTGTAAAAGTTAATTGAAATGAAAAACGCTTGCAGCCTTAATTACGGACGTTCCACTCCCTGATTAGCCCCCGGCTATCCCTTCAATTTCCTGTAGGAGCCAATATGAACCTCGTGCTTCCCGTCAATGTGTTTTCTTAAAAAAGACGCCAGACTATACGAATGTTCTTGTAGACTTCAATGATTACCCGATAACGCATACGCACATCCTGAGTGGTTCAGCTTCACTTTGTTCAAAGAGTCTGCTAGACGGCATGTCTGAATACAAATTACTAGTATAAAGTTCTGTTGTTTCCAAAGCACAAAAAAGTCATCCCGTACTTTCGTTACAGTTAATTAAAATCGATAGCAACTATATGAACAAATTGGATTAAGATTAGTATCAACTCTATGCAGACTATGCATGATGTACAAAATGACTAATAAACTGGTGGATGTCCCAACTACTAAGTACCTAATACCAGCCCAGAAGAGAACAAGAAATAGCCATGCATTCAAGTACCAGAGTTATCAACCAAGGATTGAGGTGTTCAAGAATTCATTCTTTCCTAGAACTATCGCAGAGTGGAACTCACTGTCACCAAGTACAGTAGGGGCATTGTCAATAGATAGCTTTAAACAATGTCTAGAGCTAGAAGTTCAAGGGTTAGGTGTAACAAGTTGATCGGTGTAATATAGCCAGCTGCCGCCGCGCCGCGTGACTGCGAAGCTGGTGTGTTACGCCGAAAGGCGATTATACCGGCTATACTGATACAGATAACTCACGGTGTATCTGTTATGTGCAGACAGTCACAAAATATCTATTAGAACCTAAATTCAGTTAATTAGACTAGACTTTATTGATTAGACTAGACTTGATTCTTTTAACAAATTGATTTAATTCAATTAGACCATACTTTATTCATTTAATTAGACCAGACTTTTCAAAAGCTTCTCAGGCTCAGAAATATCTATATAGTAAATCAAATTGATTGCAGTGCTATTCTTCAGATGAACTTCAGGGTGTTGTGTTAGGTTGGCAGTTTCCTGTTCGAGTTTTGGTGATTGGCATGTGTTCCCCACGGAATCATGCTGGGACCATTGTTACTGATTGTATGCATTATAGAACATTATTATGTTTACCGAAGGAAAACATATTGTTTTTGCTCCGTTTCCTCTTCTTCTTCTCCAAACACTGACCTCTGACCTGGCCAATGACCTGATTTGTTGACGTCTCCCACCATGGTAACTGGTGTTGTGTTACATAATGTTGCAATTTTATAGTAGGAGGGATTTATACTCCTGTCTGACCATATATATGTATGTATATGAGTAAGAATTAACAGAGCAGACCATATGCGAAGGTAAACATTATGCATTCGCTTTGCAAATGTTACCTTTCTAGTTAATAACTTATATTTCCTTTCCTTTTATCTACCGATGTCGGTTCATGGTAGAGTCACTGTGTATTATTTTTTAGACCCGAGAGAACATATATGACTGTTGAAGACTAGATTGTCTAGACATGCTTTTAGGGTGTTTCCCCGGGTGTCTTCGACAAAGTAGGTAGTAACGTCATATAGTGAGGCGCGTTACCACCAAAGTGCGTTTGCCAGCAGGTAAATCTCCCTTGGACACGAACAGGCATTGGAAGATACCAAGGGGAAGAGAAGTAATGACAATAGATCTTTTTCCGATACACGGAATCAGGTTTGCCATAAGTCGATTGCAATTTGCAGTAAAAAGAGATGTAGGTAGAGCCTGTATTCGTTCATATTGTAATCTATTATGATTTCATAACTCCATAGAGTGGAAGTCCCCTCAGGCATGGCAATAAGATCATTAAATCATCACTGCGCTTTCTACATACAGATAGATACAGCATTAAATGTAATATTACTTTTTGGTCTTTCGTTATTGCCTGGTCTATAGGCATTAGATAAAGATTTATGAGTTATGTTGTAACGCAAACCAGCCGGAATCTACAAATTAAAACTGCTAAAGGGGACACTTATGTAATAACATACATGTTTATGGTAAAGGTAGCTGAAGGATCTTCCATAGCATGTTTCTAATGCTGTAGGGTCAGTGAATTGTATAGTGTACGGTATTGGAAGGCGGAGACCATCCCTCTCCTTCCACTGGCTTTTATTACCCCCACCCCCAACTAAGGTCAGTACCCATTTTCACCTGGGTGGAGCGAGGAAAGGCACGCTTCGTCTCGCCAGGAATGAACTCGAACCCGTGACCTCTCGATGTCGTGTCTGTTAGCCTTAGCCACTCGGCCATTCTACGCCGCAAATTGAAGTTTATGACCGTGAATGACCTTTTTTTTCCTTCAGAAATCTACAGAGACGAAGATAAGCGGTTGAGCTGTTCACCTGTAATCAATCCCTATGAGCAATTGGATCTTCTCGTAGTCATCTCTGCGTAAGTAGTAGTTATGCGTAAGCTGTTCCAGCGGTGGCCACGAAACATCAGGCCATTCCTATAGGTCGGGAGACTGATGGCATGCATCCATCGATCATGGCATGCATCCATCGATCAAGCTTTCAGGGGATCCGGATGTATGGGCACGTCCGAAAAAAAGTTTTATCAGGTTGGTAGAACCTGCCTACCTGCCTACGAGCTCAGGCCAGGATCTAGAAGTGGAAGATTAACTCTTCTTTCTATCAAATCT